CGGGAGCAGGCAGCAGAAGGTATCATAAGGATCCTGGCCGGTGGTCAGCCTTTGAGACTGAGGGTCAGACCGTCTGGGCTTCAAAAACTGAGCAGTTGGAAGTTACATCCCTCAGCCCCTGCCCCTGGGCCCACAGAGACTGAGATCTAAAGTAAAGCAAAACAAAACAAAACAAAAAGAGAGGTTGGAGAAGCATCTGACGCGTGCCTGGAACATAGTACGTGCTCCGTGGGCTGTGAAACAGGCAGCCATGCCTGCTGTATGTCACCAGCAGGAGGCAGAGGGATCAAAGCGCCCTGGTGAGGGCAGCATGTGAAGAGATCGTGCAGTCTGATGGAGGACACCCACCAGAGGGACACCCAGTGGTCCTGGGGGTCGGGGAGTCTTCTGAAGGTGTGGCCTGAAGCAGAGCTAGAGTGGTGGGGAGTGGGGAGAGCAAAGCCGGAAAGAAAGGTGGTCGTGGATCTTGAAGGACCTTGGGTGCAGGCTGGGAATTGGGGCTTTATTCAGGAGGAAGGTAAAGGGGCTCTTCATAAGGTTTGCTGGGGCATCTCCAAGTCCTCTCCCTGGAGGTTAAGTGAAGTTGACCCCCTGCCCTCTGCATTAGTCTGCAGCCAAACTTCTGTGAGGTGGAGGATGCCACCCAGCTTCCCTGGATGCTCTGCCAACCTCCTTCTCTGCCTTGTGGTCTCCCGATGAGGGCCCCCCAGGTGTCCCAGCCCCAGGGCAGGTGTGAGGTCTGGGGCCTGGCAGCGGAGGCATGAAGCCATGTCTGCACTACCTGGACCAGGGCCGTGGGGCCAGCCTGGCCTGCTGAATGGAGCTTTCTCCCCTCCGAGAACAGGATGAAATCTATCAGCCAGAACACTGGGTCCCCTAACCTGCATGGCTCTACCGAGTTCCTCAGTCTAAGCTGAGGGACCCTGCCTGCCTGGCCTTTCCCTCTGGTGACTCAGACCTGACAATAGCTCACCGTGTATCCTGCCTCCCACTCCTCTTCCATGCCAGGGTCCCCAAGCACCTTACGGGCTGTGAGAGGTCTATGAGGGGCATGTCTGATGAGCTTTTCTGGCACATCTTCACACCTGAGCAGGTGCATGAGAGAAGGAAAGAAGAGAGAGCTAACATTTTCTGAGTGTCTTCCTTATGCTGGTGCTGTGCTGCGTTAGCTCACTCGGCATCTCCACTCAGACACCCAGTGGACACATCAGACACTCGGCCCAAACCCCACTCCTCCCCGAGCTACTTACCCATCCTCCACTCCCAGCGATCCTCATCTCCGTCCCTGCAGCCACTCAGGCCCAAACCCTCAGAGTCCCGCTTGGCTCCTTTCTCACAGCCCATATACAACGCTTCTGCAAATCCCTTTGGCTCCACCTTCTGGATACCTCCAGAATCCCACCACTTCTCCGGACCCCCGCTGCTCCCGTGCTGGCCCCAGCTCTCTCCTGGACCTCTGCTTACCCTCCTGCCCCAGCTCCCTGTTTTCTCTCTTGCCCACACAGCCTGTTGCCCACACCGAAGCCAGAGGGAGCCTATTAAAACGCAGTGGGATCGCGTCACTCGAACCCTCCCAAGTCCCAAGGGACCCCAACACCATCTGCCCTGCCCGTGGTCCTCTCTGGCCTCCTCTCCAGCCACACCGCTATTCCTAGACCAAACTCACTTCTGCCTCAGGACCTTTGCTCCTGCCCTTCCCTTGCTGACTCGCTTCCCCCAGCCTCCTCCCCATGCCTACATGACATCTTCCCAAGATGATACCTTCTCAGGGAGGCCTTCCTCATCACCCTGTTTAAAACTGCAGTGCCCCCGCCGTTCACGCCCCACCCACTTTGTTTCCGCCAACACGCTTGTCGCCACATCTAACATGCTGTGCATTTTATTAACATACTGCCCTTCCCCACCTTCATTAGAACGTTTTTTTTTCACGTCTGTTTTGTTCACAAAATTCTCAGGGTCAATACCAGTTCCTGGCATGTAGTAGCCATTCAATAAGTAAGGGTCGAATGAATGACCAGAGCCAAAATGAAGAGAGAGTATTATATAACTTAATCGCCATCATACAGCTTGCTCGTGGCAGCACCAGCGTTTGAACCTGGCTTTGTCTGGCTTTGAATTCAGGGTGGGGGTGGAGGAGACCTGGAGGAGAAAAGAGCACTTGCAGCCTAGGCTGCAGGTAAGGGGCGGGTGGGGAGAGGTCCAGTTAGGACAAGGAATGATATGGTCGCAGAGTTTGTGCACTTGGCAATAACCAGGAAATTGCTGCATAATTTTGAGCAAATCTGTTCCCCTCTCGGAGCCTCCGAGTCTTCCGCGGGTCAGCAAGGGATTGGAATGGTGCGTCTGCAAGCGACTTCTGCTGACATTCCAGGACTCCGGCTCATTCTTGCTGGGTGCACAGTGGCCTCTGGGCAAGTGTCGGTTTCCTCCTGGCCTGGCTCCTCCTTCCTCCTGTGCCACCCGCTTCTCTGGCACCAGCAGGAAGTTCTGGGCTAGTGGGTGTGTGCCCAGGAGGATATGACAGGAGATAGGCTGAGAACTTTATGGACTTACCTGGACAGGGTGGCAGGAGGCAAGGCCTGCTGGGAAGTCTGCTGCCCACCCCCGCAGCTCCCAGGACGGCTTTGCTCCTTCACCATGCCCCCACCTACACCAGCCAGGCCAGCATCCCCGGGTGCCCGTCTCCCTCTTCCCCTGGCACCAGTTGCACGGAGACAGCCCCAGATGGCTCCCTGGCCTGGGGACAAAGGCCACACTGTGCCCAGCCCTGGGCTAGCCTCAGGCTGGGTCACACTGAGCCCTTCTGTCCCCATATTGGGGTGAGGGCAGACGGCACAAGGTGACAGGCCATTTTCCTGCCTCCCTTCCCCCTCGACCCCCAATCTGAGGAGCTGACTCTCCCAAGGGAAAAGTGACAGAGGCATCTTGTGTCTTGAGCTAGGGAACAACAGACCATTCACTGCCCAGTCTGCCCTGTCACACCCAAGACCCTGCCGGGTTCAATGCCCTGATTGTCCCCAGCAGAGAGAGGCATCCACTCTCTGCTGTGGTCACCACCCCTGCCACCTGCTCCCGTCACCATCAGGAAGTCCATCCCTACATCTGACCTTCATCGCTCCTGCTACAGTGACAGCCACTTCCTCTTGGTCTCTTCTCAGCCCAGTGGAGAACAGCTGGTCCCCATTCCTCTGCATCACTTGGTGTCAGCTTTCTCATTTCACCCTCCCTCTGGCTGCCCGCCCCACCTGCCCCAGACCCAAGCTGGTGGCTCCTTGCACCTAACTGAATATCAAGAGAGCAGATGAGATTCAGGACAGATCTCCTTTGTCTTGTAGAAATTGGGGACCTCTCTCCCAGAAAGCTTTTAATGAGGTCCCCTCCCCACCCACTCCCAGTCAAGAGCAAGGGTGTGAGATTTATGGTGGCTACTGGTGGATTCCAGAGCCACAAACCCACCACTCCATTTCATGAATCCCAGACTGCAGAATGGCTTTATGGAGGAGCCCTGTTTTTAGAAGGGGGTGTGGCTGGCCCCTCTTGGCAGAGCTCAGACCTCAGATGGATCACTGTGTGCCTGGGGCTTTGGTTTGTGCCGGGCAAATACTTCCTCCCCTTCTGGGCGCGTCTCCTGCTCCATTCGGCATATGCCCTCAACCTTCCTGCACGTCTGCAGCTCTGACGAGCCCCATCTCAGCCAGCTGGGCCGTGCAGAAACCCAGACAGAATACCATCCTTTACGTGCACCTCGGGTGCTTCCCCACCATGTCCCCAGAGCCAAGCTGGCGGCTCCTTGCTCCACTGGGGATACTTTTTTAAAACTGCATTTTCCTAGTTGCCATCCTCAGAATCAGAGGGTGAGACCCAGGAGTCTGATTTTTTGCAAAACTCCCTGGTGATGCTGACGTTCAACCAACATTGCAAACGATTGATTTGGTGTGATGGGGACATCTCCACTCTCTTGTCACGCTGGGAAATGTGTCAACAGGTAGGGTGTACCTAGGTTCTCTTGTCACTGGAACCCATACACTGCCTCCATTATGAGTCCCCCTGGGCTGGGAGCACACAGACTGAGAGACAGGTGGCTGGGGCCCTCCTGGGAGCTTCTTGTCTGCGACGATCCTGCAGATGACTGGCCCGAGGTATCATGCAAGGCCATGGAGGAGTGGCTGAGGTTGGCTGACAGGAATGAGCTTTGGGATGGAGGATTGGGAAAGTCTACAGCCGGTGGGCTTTGCCAAGGCAGCTGGAAAAGAAGAGCTCTCAGCTACCTTTTCATCAGAGGAGGCCTCGCCAGCCCCCGAGTTCCTTTAGAAGAGAGACCACACTTTACTCACCACTGGAACCCCAGTGCCTAGCACAATGCCTGGCACGTAGTAGGTGCTCAGTCCTTGTTTCTTGAGCTGAACTGAGTGAGACTTCAGGGCCCACCGACAGGTAAGCTTAGCTGTCAGTGCAGACCCGAGGCCTATGGTCTGAGTGACGGCAGCCTGAGGAATGAAGGCCTGGCCACGCCCAGTCTTAGGGCTCAGGGGACCTCAGGGCCACAATGTGGCTACATTTGGGGGCAGCCAAGAGCCTTCAGGTTCAGAGAGAGGACCCTTTCTAAGCTGGCTGAGGACAGAAGAGTATGATCATTAAGCAAAGCAAACATGTGACTGACCCATAATTCCTTAAACCAGGAGGATTCAGGAGGGGCCTAGTTGCCTTGGCAACTGGGTACTGGCCAGTGACAGGGCTGAGAGCATCCTCCAGGAATGGGCTGTGCCTGGTGTGTGAGAAAGCTGGGAGAGGGTGCAGGGTGGCCCCCTCCCATCATGGGGCTGGCCCCTCATGTCTTCTCAGCAGGTGTCGGTGGGGACTCTTGTGGACCTCTTGGTCCCAGCCCCACTGCCACTGGGGGAGATGTGGGCAGAGCAGGATGAGGGGGCAGCCACACTGGGAGCTTATGAAACCATGGAGGGAAAGGTGGGAGGTAGGACAGCCCCATTCTGTGTTTTCAGGGCAGGACTGAGAAGGAAGGGTCTTGGGGAGGAAGGAGTTGCACAAATCTCGGGAGGCCAGCAGGATGTCCCCTCAGAGGACAAGAGGGCTGAGGAGCTGCAGGGAGAGAACCCCTTCTGGCTGGGAAAGGGCCCTGAGGGTGAGCAAAGCAGCCTGCCCCTGCCCCATTGTGTTCTCTGCAGTGGACACCCTTCCTGCCTGGGACTCCCCAGGGGCCCTCCCTGTTTCCGGCCAGCTTCTGTGTTTCCCCTGAGACCTTCGCTTCTGTGTTTCCCCTGAGACCTTCGCTTCTGTGTTTCCCCTGAGACCTTCAGCTGCTCCTGACCTCCTACATTTCAGCCGGAGAGACGGGGCTGAGCCAGCTTAGATGCACACATCCCCTCCCTGGTTTTTCCTCTCTTCTTCTATGTCCTGGGAACCCAGGCCAAAGCCAGAGAGGGACCTCCAGATGCTCGTATTAGGATGAAATGGGGTTTGGACCAGACTGTCACAGGGTTTAGGTCAAGTTGATGTTCAGCTACGAACATCAATCAGTGAGACTTACTGGCTGCTGATACGTTCGAGCTCTTACACACAAGTTGGGCCATCCGGCTCTGGTCCCCTCCCTGCCATGCAGTCCCCCTTCCAGAACTCTCTAGACGTTCAGCAGCTAAAAGGTTACTGTCTGGCCCTGGGGAGGCCTCCAGAGTCCTCTTGGCACATCATGATGCTATTATGAGCTATCCTTTGCTGTTCTGTTTGATCCATACTGTGACTATGTTCCTGGGGCAGGGTCCTAGGGGTGAGATTCACAGGGAGGGGAGGGGAAGGGTTGGGGCCTCCCCTCTGGGAGCTCAAACTTTGATGGGGAAGACTCAACCCTGGCCGCAGAGCTTGTTGGGAACACGGAAACCAAGACCCGGAATTCACCTTTGGTGCTGTCCGGCCACGTCGCCTGTTGTCACCGCCCCTCTCGCTTCTCCCGTCTCAGGACCCGCCGCCTGGTCCCCCCGGACATGAACATGATGAAGAACTTTAAGCGCCGCTTCTCCCTGTCGGTGCCCCGCACTGAGACCATTGAGGAGTCCTTGGCTGAGTTCACAGAGCAGTTCAACCAGCTCCACAATCGGCGCAATGAGGGTGAGGGGTCTGGGGCCCCCCCAACCCCGCGTTCCCGCGGAGCCCCCCCCCCTTACCACACCTTCACTGCCAGCCCTGAGGGGCAGGATAGAGGTGGGGGAGTATGCCCCCTCCCCTCCCTGAGGGGAGAGACAGGGATGGGGGCTCATGCCTCTCTCTCTCTCAGACCTGCAGCTCGGTCCTCTTGGCGGAGACCCCCGGACAGAGTCCAGCGCCTTCTCCCCCACGGACAGCGGGGAGGAGCCGGGGCAGCCGGCCCCTGCCATGCAGTACCGGCGGCAGAGCCAGCGCCGCTTCTCCATGGAGGTGAGGGGCTCCGGGCTCTACCCTTTGGATGTGGCAGTTCGCATCCACCAGTGTGTACCCAGGAGAGTGGTTGCCTTGGAGCCAGACTTCATGGGTTCAAATCCCGGCTCTGCCGCTGGTTAGCTCTGTGACCCCCACAAGTTTCTCGACCTCTGTGTGCCACAGTGTTAAAATAGTGTTAAAATAGTCATCATGAAGATCAGATGAGTTAATATGTGCCAAGGGCTTAGAATATTCCTGGTGCATAGCAAGGGCTAGACGATTTGACTCTTGTTCTCATACCTACCTATATGCATGCACCCAAGTATATGAAAAATAGGCTTACAGAATCGTGTGGTCTATAGGAATCTCATTCTATAGATGGTGCTACTGGCCCAGAGAGGGCGAGGGACCTCCAAAGGTCACACAGCAACCCCTGCTGTTCACGTGTCTCCGAGCACATCTTTGAAGCAGCTGTGAGCCTGGGGTCACACAGCCTGTGGTCTGGCCCCGCTGGGGTTGTTCTACAGGGAAGGCCAGGTTCAGATTGAGAGGCGAGGGTGCCACGGCACTAGCTACTGGAGCAAACACTGGTGTCCCCATCTCATCCCGGTCACTGCAGGACATCAGTAAGAGGCTGTCTCTGCCTATGGACATCCGCCTGCCCCAGGAATTCCTGCAGAAGCTACAGTTGGAGAGCCCAGACCTGCCCAAACCGCTCAGCCGCATGTCCCGCAGAGCATCCCTGGTGAGTTCAAAAAGGGTGAGAGGTCACCAGGGTGGAACTCCCTGTCCCCAGCATGAGCACATCGGTCCTGTTTTGGCCTTTCTGGGCTTGAGGCCTGCGGCAGTTTCCAGGAAGGTTCCCGAGCCTCTGGCGCCACCTGCTGGCCAAAGTGGATTAACATAGCCCAACGTCCTTGGTCAACGTTCATTCCCTAGATGGGTTCCTTCCACCAGGGCTGGAGCTGAGTCCCAAGTCCCCTCTTGGTCCCAGGGTCTCCACCCATGTGAGATCAGTAGACCAGCTGCCGTGTGCTTCCCAGTCCTAGCTGCCTGTCATATTTCCTTGGGAGCACCTTCCAAAACTCTGGTCCCGACTCCAGACACCTGTAGAATCAGAACTCTCTGGATTGTGAGGCCCAAGAATCTGTATTGTTAAGCGCTGAGCTAGAGGAGTATGCTGATGAGAGAGGCTGTTGGGGAGGTGAGATCTGAACTGGACATTCGAGGTGCAGTGGAGGAAAAGGCACAGTTCCTCTGCTCCGTTCCTCCCCTCGAGGAGCTCGAAGTCTGAGCAAGATGGAGACGGACGCGTGATGAAGGTGTGAGGAGGCAGTCCCAGGCGCCACGGCCGGGGCTGCGCACCCTCCACTACCGGGGAGGAAGGGACTCACACTTCGAGGGCTTCTCCCTTCATCCCAGGGAGAGAGGGGAGAGAAGAGGAAGGGTTTGTGGCTGCCCTCACCCCTGCCACCCTCGGTTATTCCTGCTCCCTGCAGGGGGTCTCATTACCTTTCCCCCTGGAGGCGTAGCGTCAGGACTGCTGGGGCCTCCAAGCTCACAGAACCCTGTGTCTCCTCTCCTCAGTCAGATATCGGCTTTGGGAAACTGGAAACATATGTGAAACTGGACAAACTGGGGGAGGTAAGAGGCTGCGTTTGGTCTTCTTGGGGCAGCCAGGCAGGATGGTTAGGGGGAAGGACAGGGTCTTCCCCAGCACTCCCTGATCTGCCCTCTCATTGCCCCTGCCCCACAGGGGCACGAGATCTTGGCCTGGCAGCTGGGCTCAGCCTTTGGCAGGTGCTGAGACGGGCCCAGGTCCCGGAGGAGGGCACGAGGATGGAGCAGCCCGTGGGCTCTGGGCAAAATCCAATATTTTTTAATTTTCCTGCAAGTATTTCTTGTCTGAGTTCAAATCTCAACTATAGTATTTATCAGCTCCGTGGCCTTGGGCATGTTTATGTGACCTCTCTGTGCCTCAGTTTCTTCCTCTGTCAAATGGAGAACGTAACTGTTCTACCTCACAAGGTCGTTGTGAGGACCGAATAGGTTACTATGATAAGCTTTTGTACAGCACTTGGATGATGCCTGGACTCAGTAAGTGCTGCGTGACTGTTAGCTGCTTCTCTTTCACTGCGCCAGGCTTGGTTTGAGGCTAGGGGGATGGGCAAAAGTTTGCAGAGAGGAGGAAGCTGGCCCTTTCCTTACAGAAACTCAGAGACCTACACGTAAACATCGACATCAGAAAGAACAAACTGGCATTATAAGAGAGGGGCACCTAGCCTGCTGGGGGCCGAGGAGGAGGGCAGTTTACTCTGATAGGGAGGAGTTAGGAACAGCTTGAAGGGAGAAGAAGCGGGAAGGGCACTCCAGCCAAAGTCACAGCCCCAGCAGAGGCACAAAGAGGGAGGCATTGGACAGAGGCAAGTAGGACCTGAGTGTGGCTGAGGCTACTGGGGTTTTGTTCCCAGGGCACCTATGCCACAGTCTTCAAAGGGCGCAGCAAGCTGACGGAGAACCTCGTGGCCCTGAAGGAGATCCGGCTGGAGCATGAGGAAGGGGCTCCCTGCACCGCCATCCGAGAGGGTACAGCACCCTAGGGTCCTGTATCCTGAGAGCTTCTAGTAGGAAGGGTTCATTGACCTGAGCCCAGGTGGGAGCCTGGGGACAGAGGGTCATTGCTGGAGTGGGGACTCCTGAGGCTGATCCCAGGAAGAGAGAGCGTGAGGGGCACATGGGGCACTGGGGACCCAGGTGGGCCTGTCTCCCCACAGTGTCTCTCCTGAAGAACCTGAAGCATGCCAATATTGTCACCCTGCACGACCTCATCCATACAGAGCGGTCCCTCACCCTGGTGTTTGAGTACTTGGTGAGTTGGTCCTTGCTTACTTCTCCCTTGTGGTGGGAGGGCAGGGGGAGAGAGGGGGGATGGCTCAGGCCTTGTTTTACAATCAGGTTCTCAGATGCTTCCAGGCAGGAGTGGGCCAAGGGCCCAGGCCCAGGGGCAGCTTGGAATCAGGAACCTGTCCCTTGCCTGGGCTTGGGCAGCGCCCAAAGAGGGGCTTCCCACCAGGGGTCAGGACAGGATGGGGCTGAGCCACGATCTGTGTTCCAGGACAGTGACTTGAAGCAGTACCTGGACCACTGTGGAAACCTCATGAGCATGCACAATGTCAAGGTGAGGCCCTCCACCCATCTTGGCACCCACCTGTTCTCAAGCCCAGGATGGGAACCCAGGGTCCTGGCTGCTGAGGTTGCTCAGACCTTCAAATGCAGGAGGGAGAGAAGGGGCAGCACCATTCATGGAGGACTGGGAACTGTGGAGCACCCTACCCTGCCGTGTAGACACACACCCTCTGCCACTGTCCAGCGGTCAATATAAAACCCCGCTCTCTAACTCTGAGCATCAGTTTCTCATATGTCAGATGGGAGCATGAATTACCAGCCAGGATGAAGGGAGGCTTCTGAGGAAGTTCAGAGGGATGAATGGCCTCTTCTGATGAACCAAGCGCGTACCTCCCCCCATGGTGGCCCCCTCAGCTCCCAGACTGGAGAACTCTCTGTCCTCCTGCCCCCTCCTGCCCCCTCCACATACTTGACGCCCTCCCCTTGGACGGCGTTCCCTGGGGTGGGTAGGGCTACGGTGTGGACAGGAGAACCAGGTAACCTCAGCCCTGCCCCGTCCCCGTTCCCATCCCTGTCCCAGCCATGGGGCAGAGGCGCAGGTTCTTCCAGGTGGGGACACGTGCTCACCTTCCTCTGCTCCCTCCTGCCCCAGATTTTCATGTTCCAGCTGCTCCGGGGCCTTGCCTACTGCCACCGCCGCAAGATCCTGCACCGGGACCTGAAACCCCAGAACCTGCTCATCAACGAGAGGGGGGAGCTGAAGCTTGCCGACTTCGGTGAGGGCTGAGCTCCCAGGGCCAGATGGGGATCCAACAGTCTCCCAGGAATGTGGGTGCCAAGGGGGGAGAGGTTCAGTAATGTGTCTTGTCCCTAGGACTGGCCAGGGCCAAGTCAGTGCCCACGAAGACCTACTCCAATGAGGTGGTGACCCTATGGTACAGGCCCCCTGATGTGCTGCTGGGGTCCACAGAGTACTCCACCCCCATCGATATGTGGTGAGTGAGCTGGAGGGCTGAGGGGGCCTTCCACACTTCAGACTCCCTCTTGCTGCCCCAGAGGCCTCACTGAAGAACCGCTTAGCCTCCTTTGACTAACTAGAAGCCTGTGGCGTCCTGTTGAGCTGGATGTTAAAGGACGAAGTCTGAACCACTTTGGGTTTCCCTGGCTCTAAACAGACCCTCCAAGCTGTGCTCCTGAAATACGCCCCCAGGGGCCCTCAAGGATTCAAGAGTGTACAGGAGGCCCCCACAGTAAATATGACTCTTCCTTAAGCATCAGTTCTACTGAGAATTTTGGAAAGGATGTTATTTTAATGTTAAAATTAACATGCATTTTATCTGTTGTAGAATGAAAAATCAGTTCAATTTTAAAGCTAAATCATGGGTTTTTAATGAATGCCCGCTGTGCCCCGTGCCCCAAGGTTCTTTAGGAGAATGGATTTATGACTTCTTTCTTCCAGTCAGGGCACACAACATGGAAAAAGTTTGAGACAACACTGCTTAAAGAACTGTCATATGGGTGCTGTGCAGACCCAAACCCCTACAGAGTGACAGGGGAGAGGTCAGGATGTCCCAGAGGAGCCCCCAGAGAGAAGCCGTAGTGGAGGGCTGGGCTGTGCTAGGAGCCTCCACTGCCCGCGGTCCCCCGCCCCAGCGCCAGGACCTATCTGAGCCACTGTTGGGCACTGTGGTGGAGCAGCCCTCGAAAGCGCGGGCACGAGGAGGCCCAGCCTGACGCGCCCCTGCCCATTGCTCCCCGCAGGGGCGTGGGCTGCATCCACTACGAGATGGCCACAGGGAGGCCCCTCTTTCCCGGCTCCACGGTCAAGGAGGAGCTGCACCTCATCTTCCGACTCCTCGGTCAGTCTCCTGTGCTCCCCCAATACGACCACCAGGGGACGCCAGAACTCCGTCCAGCCTGGGCGCAGAAAGGGACTGGGAAGAGCTGTTGCTCCTGCTCACAGCAGGGCGAAGATCCCTGTGGCCTTGGCCATTCTGTGCTACCAACCCCTACGTTGCACCCCTCCAAGTCGCCCTTGGCCATAGCCCCTCACCATGCCCACCCTTCCCCTCTTGTCTCCCCAGGGACCCCTACAGAAGAGACGTGGCCGGGAGTGACGGCCCTGCCAGAGTTCCACTCCTACAACTTCCCCCGGTACCTCCCCCAGCCGCTCATCAGCCACGCTCCCAGGTAGCCCTGCCTCCCACACTTCCTCTCCTGCTTGTGGTCCTGGCTGTCACTCCTGAAAGTGGCCACACGCCCCCACCTTGCCCACCCCACCAAGGCCAGGCCTGTGTCAACTCCTTCCTCCTGCAGGTTAGAAACTGATGGCATCAACCTCCTGACCAGCCTCCTTCTGGTGAGTGTTCCTCCACCTGGGCCCCGGTACAGGCAGCCAAAGAAAGCTGAGGCCCCCAGACCCCACACCGGCCCTCCGCCCACCTCAGTGCTCATGTGCTCGCTAGGCTGACCTGTCACGGCCCCTGCCACTCTCTACCCCACCCCATCTCCCAGGCCCAAGAAGAGCCCTGACTCCCCCACTGACTCCGAGAGGGCGCACTCTGAACTCAAACCGCAGTTCGAACCCACTCACTAGCCGTATGGCTTTGGGCAAGTTGCAGGACTTTGTGCCTCAGTTTCCTCAATCACAAAGTGGAACTAATCGTTCCTAGTTTATAAAATGGCCATGAGGGTAAATTGAGGTTATGGAACACACTTAATATGGTGTCTGTCTTGAAGTAAGCATTCGCTAGGTTACATGTCACTGTTGTTGTGATCGTGGTTGCTTTAGCATCTGCATTTCCATCCTAAGAGGAGGTCACTCTCCCAAAGGCCCATTTCCGGTTTTCTCCCGGCGGGAGCCAGAGCCTTGAGACTGCCTTGGGGTTGGGCTGGAGATGAGCTGGCACCTGATTCCAGCGGCTTCTTTGCTTAGACTCACGTCTCTCCCATCTTGGCCATTTACTTAAGAGTAGCACTGCCCAGAGGGGTCCCCACAGTTCCCCACCAGGGCCCAATAGCCCCCCTGTGCTTTTCAGTATGAATCGAAGAGCCGCATGTCTGCAGAGGCAGCCCTGAGCCACCCATACTTCCAGTCTCTGGGAGAGCATGTGCACCAGCTCGAGGACAGTGAGTGCTGGGGGAGGTTGGTGGAGGGGGAAGGGCCACCTTAGAAGACGGAAAGGGGGCAGCAGGTGTGGGCCAGAGAGCTAGAACAGAGAGGCCAGAGGCCCTCGGTACAGCTGAGTGGCCTTGGGCACATGACTTCCCCTCCTTGGGTTCCCATTTGTGACCAAGGGGCCAAACTCTGTGGATCTGAGACCCCGCCTGAAAGGCCCAGTTAGGTGCTCCTGGGCCAGTCCTAACTGGAGGGGTTCCCCAAGGGGGTGCTCC